AAAACTTACCACCTAGACTAATTAAATAAGAACTGCTTCTCCGGGAAGCACATTACTCATGATACATCCAAAACACCTGTACTTAAGGTTGCAGTGTACGATAATACAAATGTCATAGTATTTGTCACACATCAGCGCAGACAATTAATGTGAAACATGTTGTCCATTGCGGGAATTAGGATTTTTTGGTACTGATACTGACGGTGAAAAACGTGGGTATGGCTAGTCTATGGATGTATGGCCTTATGTTTATCAGGTTGAGCTTACTGCTTTTAAAACATGACATTTTGAAAAGTCCAATCTCCAGCCAGTCTGGTACACAAAGGCACTCTTTCACTTTGCAGCTCCCCCACTACGTTCAATGCGTGATGACATTGAACCTGTCCGTAAGGCATCGCGTCGATCTATGATCACAGCATCTGATTCTCCGTTTACAACCGCAAATCCTCCAAAACCGTTGGAAAATTCGCCGAGTGCTGCGGATACATGGGTCACTGTTTATGGTTTCCCTCCTGAACAAGCCGCAAATGTGCTCAAACATTTTTCACGACACGGAGAGATTGTTAGTCATCGGGTGAGTTAAAGCTATCTTCTACACACTTTCTTTTTAATGTTTAAATCCACGTCTGCAGTTCCATTTATTTTTGGTATCGAGTATTTCCTTTTATCTAGCGTCTATCATGATTTTCTCTTTTAGATTTTTCAGATTAAAATCTCGCAACAACTCCACACCAATTAATTTATTCGTTGAAAACATGCGTATTTGCTTTTGTGGTGTAAAAGTCTTAAGAAGAATATTTTATGGGGTTGGGAGCAATGGTGTTTAAATTGAAGAAAACTAAGTGTTTATATAAAGCGTAGATGCTTCGCTAATTGGATTGGTATTCACTTTGACTGTGACATACTCTTTCAAATTTTCCTGTAATTTGGAAAGTCGCTTTAGAAGAACTGTGAGAAATGTACTCCCGTATAAACTAATCTTGCTACACGTGCTTGGAAAAAGGCTAGTATACCCATGGTAGTGATAGAGCTTCGCGAATTGTCGAATTTGGTCTATTATGCAGCTTAGAATCGAGCTCAAGCATATCTTAGACTGGTTCGGAAAATAGTTGTAAGGCTCTCGTACTTTATCTGGTGTTGTCGTGGGTACCAATCATTTTGCGTTTGTCGTTGTATGGTATCAACGTGGTTTTATATCATTATTACTGTGCACCGGGCTATTGCGACTCATACTTTTCTTAAACCCTCACTACCGCGCATTATTTACGTCTGTTTTTTCATTATTTTCGTTGACCACCGCTTGTATAGTTTTTTTTCG